TTTATAGAAGAAGTTTGCCAACCCTTGCTCTAGATACAAGAGCATTTTGGAAAATTGTGTGTTTACACATTTGGCCCGAAGAATTTTTAAAACAGCTTTATTGAGATATAATTTACTTACTATACAATTCACTCAAAGTGTAAATATAATAGTTTTTAGTATATTCAGAGTTATGCAACCATTACCATAATCAATTTTAGAACATTTTCATCACCCCCAAAAGAAATCCTTACCTTTACTTTAGCTAACATCTTCGTTTACCCCTTCCATCCCTCCAGCCCCAGGCAACCACTGCTTTACTTTCTTCCTTCATAGATTTCCCTATGAGCTTTTTGGATTGACTTTGTCATTTAGCATAATGTTTTTAAGTTTTATCTATGTTGTATCCTGTATCAGTACTCTATTCTTTTTTATTGCCAAATAATATTCCATTGTTTGGATGTGCCACATTATACTTGGCCATTCACCCATTGATGGACACTTGGGTTGTTTCCACCCTTTGGTTATGAATAATACTGCTATGAACATTTGTGTACAAGTTTTTACGTAGACATGTTTTCATTTCTCTAGAGTATATACCGAAGAGTAGACTTGCTGGGTCAAATGGTAACTCTGTTTAACTTTTTGAGGAACTGCCAGACTGTTTTCCAAGGTGGCCTTACCATTTTACATTTCCAGCAGTGTATGAGGGTTACATTTTTTTCACATCTGCCAACACCTGTTAACAGTTTTTTAAATTATAGCCATCCTAAAGGATGTAAAGTGGTGTTTCCTTGTGGTTTTGATTTGCATTTCCCTGGTGTTGAATGATGTCCAAGCATCTTTTCACATGCTTATTGGCCATTTTTTATAATTCCTTTGAAAAATGTCTATTCATATCCTTTGGCAATTTTTTAATTGAGTTATTTGTCTTTTTATTATTAAGTTGTAAGAGTTCTTTATATATTTAGACTGAAGAATTTTGATAACCTGAAAACAGTTGGTCTGAGCTGCCTTAAGCTAGGATGGAGGGATGCCCCGAGTTAGAACTTCAGCTTTAAGGCCCGCCAGATGGCACTGTTTTAAAACATAAAGGTGTTGAGAACACTCAGAGACCAGCACTTCCTCTTCTTGGTGCATTGTGGGAGTTGTAGTTCCTAACTCTTCGAATCTCCAAAGAGAAGGCCAGCCCGGAAATTGTGACTGGTAGGATGATCACTCACTGGTCTATAAAGACCAGGACAGGAGGATTGTAGGGGGAAGTGACTGACTCAGAAAACTGCTTGTTTCTTTGTGGGGACTGAAAGAATCTCACAGGAAAAAGGGACCCAAAGGACATTAATTTCCAATTCAGCACTCTTTACGCAAGCAGTTGTTCTCTGCTTGTATAGCCTGTTTTCTTGTGGTCAACTTTTTAAATTCAACACTTTTTCACAAACCCATTTCTTTACATAGTTCACAAAATTGTCTCTTAAAAAGCACTGTGTGTTTTTGCCATAGATGTTCTATAAAGCCGCAGTCCCCAACCCCCGGGCTGCAGACGGGTATTGATATCGGTCTGTGGCCTATCAGGAACCAGGCTGCACAGCAGGAGGTTAGCAGCAGGCAAGTGTGCAAAGCTTCATCTGTATTTACAGCCACTCCGCATCAGTGGCATCACCACACAAACTCCGCCTCCTGTCAGATCAGGGGCAGCATTAGATTTTCATAGGATCATGAACCCTACTGTAAACTGCACATGCGAGGGATCTAGGTTGTGCACTCCTTATGAGAATCTAATGCCTGATGATCTGAGATGGAGCTGAGGCGGTGATGCTAGTGCTGGGGAGCAGCTGCAAGTACAGATTATCATTAGCAGAGAGGTTTGACCGCACAATAAATGTAATGTGCTTGAATCATCCCCAAACCATCCCTACCCTCACCCCCCAGTCCATGGAAAAATTGTCTTCCATGAAACCGGTTGGGGACCGCTGCTATAAAGGGAGTGATTCATGCTCAAAATAGACCCTAGTTCTCCATTATCCTACAAAGCTAGGCTGGTTTTTTTTCATCTTCAAAGATGGTATTCCCATTGATGTTAGCTAACCCTGTATTCACTGAAAATATGGGCGCTTTGCAGGTTCCTGGTGGTCTCATGATTTTTCTTAGGTGACCCATGATCTTTGAGGGCCCAGGTGAAGAACTTCTGTCTTTTTGACATTGTTGGGGAACATAAATTTCACCAAATTAATTGTCCAGATCGTGTTCTTGCTTACCTGTGTGAACCCCTTACTTGGCTCCCTTTGCCCTCCTTGCTAAGACCTCTATGTCCCTCAGTCCCCCCAGAGCTGCCCACCCCCCACTTCCCTCTCTGAGCATCTCTAACCATTCCCTGCTGGATAGCCAGTCTTGTCCTTCTGACTGTCTTTCTAGTGCTCCAGAACTGCACTCTCCTGAAGCCCTGGACCTTCATGTAAGCTGTTTCTTCTTCTGGAAACTATTTCCACAATACCCCCTCCAAAAATGAACCAATCAATAAAATAAAGTTTGGTAACTCCTGCCTCTTGTTCAGCTTGCCTATTAAATCTAACTGCTTGGAGGTCTTCCTTCAGCCCGGGATGAGGTCAGGCTTCCCTAGTGTGTTTCCATCACTGCAGCTGCCTTCACCATCACAGAAGTCACCTCATTGCTAGCCTGGTTTAGCGTCTTGTCTGCCCACTAGACAGCAAGTGGCTTGAGAGCAGAGATGAGCTTTGCACACATCCCATCCCCAAGACTCATCACACATCCTAGAATGTGGTCAGTACTCACCAAAGTTTGTTCGAAGACAGGTTTGCCCCTCTAAGTGTCAGCATCGCTCAGGAGTGCCCCTGTCTAAAATGTGCCCATATGTGCACCTGCCTTCTCATCTGAGGCCTGGCAGCCCTTGGCCTCCTTTTGCCCTTCTGCTGTGTCTTTTCTGCATGGTTTTCTCCTGTTTTGAGCAATTTTGGTGGCTCCTTCCCTGCCCCTCCATCTATCACACTCCCTTCTAGTTTTTTCTTATTCAGATACAGAGGTGGGCCTGGCCAGCGAAGCAGAAAAAAGACTTCTCTCACAGGAAGCCTAGCTGTCCTGCAGCTTTTGATGGTTCAGCCCATGCCAGCAGTTTCTGGCCTGAGTCCATTCCTCTGCCCCAGGTCTCTGGGGCCTGTCTGCCAGGCCTGAGCTGGCAGTGTGCTAGAGTGTTCACTGGCATGTTGTGCTCTCTGCTCATGGGTCTCCTGCTACCATGGGAAGACCCTTCCCCTAGCGTCGGGTCAGAGCTCTCAGAGCTCTTCTCAACTTCCTGCCTGGCCTCGCTTTTATATGTGTTGCCCAGCCCATGTGTTGGAAAGCACAACAGATGTGATCAATCCAGACCAGAGAGAGGAAAGGAAGCCTCCAGACCCATGTCTAACTTGCCATTTGAATATGACTAGGATAGCATGTAAAGTAGGGAAATTTAAAAGCAGTAGGTTGGTGCATTTTGTGTCAATTTTGGTATCAAATATGTGAGAAAATCAGTGTTATGATTTCAGACAAAGGTGGTAAATCGTGCCATAGTAAGGCAGCATCATCTTGGTGGCCATATCTGATCATTTTAAAAAGAAATTTAAACTCCATAAAGACAGGGATTTTGTCTGTTTTCTTCACTATTGTATCCCAAGTGCCAAAAACAGTGCCTGGCACATGGTAGACATACAGATATTTTTGAGGGAAAACAATTTGGGCTTTAGTTTAGTAAATGCAACTGTGGAATGCAGCTCTGGTCCATCTGTCTTTAAGTATTAATGATAACAAATGAGACTGATGGGAAACACTGATATGACGTAGAAAACATAAAAATAATGTTTGGAGTAAAACCAACCAGATGCCCTTTCTCCTCCATTACCTTCCCCCCTCCACGCACACACACCAAGTTCTTCTGAATTTTCATAGTCTGTTTGAATTAGTGAAACTTTAATATAAGCTTGGTTGGTTTTTTTTAAGCATTAAATGCAAACTATTTAATTAATCTCCTTTTCCTCCACATGCTGCATCATTATTTTCAATAAGTAACTTCAGTTATTGTCTCTGAAGGCTTTTGGAACCCAGTGAACGTGTGAAAGAATGAACAAACGAGTGAATGAATGAAGGTTTTGTGTTTGTCACAGATGTGAGAGACTGAGTTATAGTTTATAGCTTCCAAAATGTGTCCTGTTTGTTCTTTATTAGTTGAGGGAATCTGCATAATTCCTTATGAAGTGCTCTTGGTTTTTAATCCCTCCAGGGTGGAACAGGGAAAATATGTTTACGGTTTCGTATAAGATTTTATTCAAGTTATTTTCAAAAGAAAACAGAGGATACAGATTTTCCCCTTCCTAAAGGAAATGTTTGGAGTTGCTGTTGAATACACAAGCAAGCTGGTTAATTAGGTTAATTAATTGGAGAGAGGGGGTGGGAAATGCTCCTGGGAGCTCTACTTCCTGCCTGCACACCACACATACACACACATGCGTGCACATGCGCACATACACACACATGCATGCACACACTGGCTTTCCACTCACCTCTTCTTAGAGGCATCAGAATCTTGCCTGAAATGGGTCTCTGGCTTTGTCCCATTCAGACACCGGCTTTAGCTCCAGGCGAGGTGTGCTGGCATGGGGGCTGTACTGGTGGTAGGGCGGGTGGGGAAGCATGCTCAGATGTTAAAGCAGGAGGGGCTGGGAAGTCTGTCAGGCCACACAGTCTGCAGCTGGTGCTGCTTCTGATCAGACTTGTCCCTGGGCTGGGGGACCGGTGGTGGCATGACCAGCATGTTCTGTTCCTCCCTCCTCCCGGGAGATCCAATGCTCCCTCCTCCGGCTTTAATCAGAAGCCGTTGATTATACCATGTAGAGTAGGGCAGACCTTGAATGGGGATATGAAAATCAAGCCAATCAATCAGCATTAGCAGTAATGATACAAGCTGGTCCTGTCGCTTCCTGAGCTGTCTCGGCATTATTTTAAACTGCCTTTTTGAAAAATCTCTCTTACAGAAAGGAAGAGATTTTATCAGAACGTCAGCATCACACAGGGTGAAGGTGAGTGTCTGAAATTTTGAGTGCCTCTTTTTTTTTTTTTTTATGAATGGTTGGAAACATTTTTCATCTTCAGCAGGTCCAGTGGTGAGATTATCCTTCCTGCTTTTGTCAAATATGTTTCTGTAGGGGACGCAGACTTGTCTTTGTCTGCACCAATTCAAGTGGCTAAATATAGGAATGGTCACTCAATTCCACTTAACAATCCCTGAGAGTTTTTCATTTGATCTTTCAAGGTGGCTTTGAGATAAACCTGGACCACAGGAAGCTGAAAACTCCCCAAGCCAAGCTCTTTACGGTCCCCAGCGAGGCCCTGGCCATCGCAGTGGCCACTGAATGGGACTCCCAGCAGGACACCATCAAGTACTACACCATGCACCTGGTAACAAGTTCACAGTGCAAACCTACACCCTGAGTCCCGCTAGGGGCTTCCTAGTCTACCTGGCAAAAATTTAGACTCCTTTCAAAATTCTGACAAGGCCCCGGAGGCCGGGCTCTGCCTGGGCTCCAGGCACACTCACCTCCTCTCAGTCACTGAACGTGCCAAACTCTTTCCCTGCTGGCCTGGCCACCTACAGTTCCCTCTGCTTGGAATGCCATGCTGGATGGCTGTTTCTCTCTGGTCTCAGGACAGACGTCATCTTCGCTGACTGCCCAGCTCTCTTACTTTCTATGAGAGCAGCTGGTCATTCGTTTCATCAGCACTTAGACAACTTGTAATTGTCTGTATTATGTTTGCACTTTTATTGTCTATCTCCTCCACTGCTTGGTAAGCAACAGGAGGGCAGAGGCCACGTCCCCAGTGTCTAGATAGCCCCTAGCAGGAAGTTTAGTTGGCACTTGGTTAATATTGGTTGAATGTAGGAACCACTGGAGGCAGATGGGTGAGTGAGGAAGACCCCCCCATTTGGCCAGCCCGTCATCCACACAGAGGGGCTCATGAGGGACTAGAGCTGACTGGGGACAGGTGGGGTCAGCCAGACTCCCAAGGTCTAGCTTCTGTGGCTTCTAAACTGCAACCTTGGGCAAGTTGCTGCCCCTTTCTCAGCCCCATGTGCCTCATCTATAAAAGGTGATTGATAACAGTATCTAGCTCATGGAGTGTGATCAGGATTGGATGAGATGCTGCATAGAAAGCGCTGAGCGTGGTTACTGGCACAGAGTGGGCACTCATTCGATATAGGAGTTGGTCACTGGCTTCCTGGTCATTGCTGTGCTCAACCTTTGCAAACCCAGCTGGGCTTCCTGTCAGCATCATGGTCTGCCGAGGTGCCAGCCTGCTCCTTGACTATCTGATGACATTAGGGTAATTAGGGCTATAAGCTAATAGTTAGAGTAACCTAAGCAACCTATTATTGACAAGGTAAATCTGGAAAAATAATCTTGATCCCAGATTGCATGGTTCGTTTCCTTGTGTTGTTAGGCGTTAAGGGGGCCAGTTGGTGAAGTTTTCAGTCAGATTTGACTGCCATTACTGATACGTGTCCTATTTGCTGTGTTTGATGACGTACTTAACCTCTCTGGGCCTCAGTTTCCACATCTCTCAAATGGATTTAATAATAGTACGTACAGCAAAGGGTTGGTGTGAGGATTAAATTAAATACATTAGAGCCTGATAGTAAAGAACATGCAACCTTGGGGAAGTTCACTAATGCGAGGGCCACTATGAGGCTCCTCTGGGTCCCGTGAACATTCACACGAAGCATTTAGCACAGAGCCTGACTACAGCGTGCTCTCAGGAGCTGTGCTGCTGCTGTGGTGTCAAGGCATCTCGGGTCGAGAGCTTTGTTTGGGGTGGTGCTGTCCAGTTCTCGCCCTGTAGCTGTGTGTCGGATGCAGTGTCCTCAGGAGAGCAGGGCTTTTGCCTGAGCCCAGCAGGTGGTGACAGGTGCTTTCTGCCTTTGATTCAGACCACACTGTGCAACACATCCTTGGACAACCCAACCCAGAGAAACAAGGATCAGCTGATCCGGGCAGCTGTGAAGTTTCTGGACACAGACACCATCTGGTAATTGACAATTAGATAGGCATTCCCCTTGGATTGAGCGAGTCCCTGGGGCTGTTTTGCCTCATTTGCCCAGACGGTTTTCAGTGGAAGAAGAGGCAGACCCTTTCTGTTACCACATAGGACAGGGAGGGCGGCCTCCTTGACGTGGGCACTTGGCTGCTCTGTAGCTCACTGGGGGAGACTCCTCTTCTCCAGCCCAGCAGTGGCCCCTTGGGCTGGGGTGGGATGAGGGGGTGTGTATATAGCTCTTGCAGGTACCAGGACCACAGGGGTCACTTGCTGGTCCTGGGTGGGGCCCATGACCCTGGACTCCTGCCCACAGGCAAGTTCTCATGTAGGCATCATGTCCCTACAGACGTGGGTATTCAGGAGATGCCTCCTCCAGTTCAGCAGTCTCCTCTTGTTCTGTGTTTTTGGCTAAGTGGTCAGTGATACGGAAGGAAAGTTGAAGAAACAACTGAAGTGGTTGAGCAGCACCAAGCCTGCTGGCCTGAGTGCTCCAGAATCCTTAGTCATCTCCCCATGACACAGGAAATCAGCGCTGACGGGAGCGGGTGGCCCACAGCTAGTAGGAAAGCTCACTCCATTTGTTAGGGGTCACTTGATTATAGGGAACGAAATCCATTCAACCTAGGTCAGGCAAAAGGGGGTTTCTCAAAAACTATGCAGGGATCCTGACAGGAAATGAGGGACAGCTGGGCCACCGGGATGGGTGTTGGAAGATGAGATGCCAGAGCTGAGTGTCAGGGAGGAAGGTCTGTCTGCTTATCTGCTCCTCGCGGCAGCGCAGCTTTTCCTGCACACTGTGACCTCTCTCCCCACTCTGCCTCCATGAGACTGTGGCTTTCCACGGTGCCCACTTGGGTTCCCATCTCATGAGACCTTGCAGCTCAGCTCCCGCTCAACTGATTCGTCTGTGTCTCTTGGCCAAAATAAGCGGCACCGCCTGGCCTCTAGCTTGGTCCCCTCGGGTGAGGTGTCTGTGCCAGCAGCTGCATCCATAGCTTGTAGCCAGGAGGTGGGTATAAGCAGGCAATCTGGCCTGTGGCCAGGGGCATCGCCTCTTGGAGGGGCTGAGGGTAGGGGCTCAGCATTCACGTTCAGCATCTGAGGATCAAGTGGGTGTGGCTCAGGGGTTGCAGCTAACAGACTGGATCTGCTTTAGAATGGCTGTAACATATAGTGCTGCAGGCTTGGGCCTGTCGAATATTTGGGGATACTTAGGGCACTGGTTCTCAAACTCAAGCTTATGTTAGAATCCCCTGGAGGACCTGTTACGATATAGATTGCTGGGTCCCACCTCCAGAGGTTCTGTTTCTACAGATGTGGGATGCAGCCTGTGAATGCGCATGTCCAAGAAGTTCCTAGGTGATGCTGATGCTGATGCACTAGGGCCACGCTGTGAGACCCACTGCTTTAGGGAAAGACCCCTGGGACTGGAATGGTGGTGGTGAAGTTTTTGCTGTTGCCCTTTGTTTTTCCTTTTCTATCACTGAATAAAGGAATTGTGTACTTTTTTATTAATGAAGGTGATTTTTACAATGAATTAGCTACAGGGTGGAAGAGCCAGAGACATTAGTGGAACTTCAAAAGAATGAGTGGGATCCAATCATAGAATGGGCCGAGAAAAGGTAAGATGTGAGCCCTGCAGAAAACACTGACTGGGTACCAGCGTTGGGCAGGGTCTTGGGGTCAGGTGGCCACACTGCACAATCAAAGCTCTTAGCTATGTCGGCTTTCTGATTTCAGAGCACCCTTGGGATTCCACTTTCCTCAGATGTTCAGGGATTGGGTCACCTTGAAAAAAATGTCCTCAAATTCATTTCAGCTGCTGTGCACTGAGCACCTGATATTGTGATGCACACTGAGTAGGGGCAGCTCTGCATCCTCAGTGAAGCACCAGAGTCCCCAGGCACCTTCTTCCAGTGGGTCAGAGCAGCAGTGTTGGTTTGAGTCCCAGTCCTGCCACTATCAAGCTGTGTGACTTTCAACTAATGAGTAGATCTCTCTGAGCTCCAGTTTCCTTGTCTCTTAGGGTGTTGGCAGGAGTTAATGAAATGAAATGAAATGTAAAGTGCTTAGCATCCTGCTTAGCACACAATAAATGCTCAGATTTTGGCAGTTACTTTTATCTTCATCTCAATTACTGTACGATTAAAAGAAAATCACAAAACTGTGTATGATACACGTGTACATGGGGAAGTGTGGATCGCCTCCTGCAGAACTGTGGGTGACGCCTGTGGTCTGTGGTTTCTGGGAGCTGATGATGTCCAGTATTTTTCCTTAATAGGAAGACTGTTGAGTGCAAAATTGAACAGACTGTTGATACGGTGGCAAAGTCAATTCAGTTTCATTTCATCTCAAGGGAAATTTGGAAGGACTGGCTTTCATGGCACTACCTTGACCATAGTATTCATAAGCTTACAGAGTATATTTCTTGGTACAGCACTTTTCACAAAAGTGCTGGTGTCAATCTGCCCCACTGATTTGCCACGTGTTGCCCGAGTGCTCACAACGTGCCAGGCATCCTTGGGATTTAAAGGAAAAGGCAAAGCCAGTTTTCTGAAGGATCAGATAACAATACTGTGTGAGAAATATGACGATACAATGTCATTTTGGAATCTAATGAAATATAACAATAACTTAGGTGCTTGGAGATCTTTGCTGTGGTACAGAGTCGTCAAGGTTTTGTGGCAATTGAGATATCCCCTCCTTAATAGTTTACACAAAAACCTAGCCATTTCCCATCGTCAATTTTGTATTATTAGAAATTTTAGCAAGAATATTTTTAAAACAATAGAAAACATCAGTGATATGGAAAAAAATTACAAAAAAAATTGTTTTTACTCTGTTTTTTTCTGTTTTATATAGTTATTATTCTTGAAAATGTATCTTCTCTTGAAGAAGCTCATGTCCCATAGATGACAGACCAAAAACAATGCCTTGTTTATTATAGAAGCTTGATAAATGTTTGAAAAAAATGATTGTATGATAAAGGACATATACAAACATCCTTTTAAGGTAAACAGTCTTTAAAAGAAATCTTTCACGCCCTCAAATGTGAAAAACTTTTTAGAGAGGTTTAAAAAGCGTGTAGCCCAGACTTCTGGAGGTTCCAAGGCAAATGAATTAGCATTTCAGGCAGTTGCGTGTGACTGAGCCCCTGCTCATCTGACCCATCAATCATGCCTTCATTCAAGGCTATTTCTTGGTCCTCTGGGTTTGCTCTTGGGGTCAGGTCAGGAGGCCACTAACCACAGTGGCAGTTGCTGCTGGAGTCCTCGAGTCTAGCTCCTTGGCCACGTGCCCCGAAGGGGCACACATGTGCTCAGATGTTTAGGTCTTTGCTTCAGGTTAAAAGCTGTGCTGCTCTTGGGCCACAGCTCGACAGGGACATGCCTTTTCCTTTCAGATACAGTGTGGAGATCGGCTCCTCCACCAGCATAATGGGACCCAGCATCCCGGCCAAGACTCGAGAGGTGCTCGTCAACCACCTGGCATCTTACAACATGTGGGCCCTACAAGGTCTGTAAGTTTCCTGGGGTGCAGGGGTGGGTGTGATGCCCATCAGCATCTGAAGCCTGTACATGCCCTTCCCCAGGCACTCCGAGCTGTAGGGCTGCTGTGAGCCTGAGGCTGGCTGGCTCTGATGCTTCAGTCAGCACTCCAGGCCCACACCCTTCCAGCGGAAAGCTGGGTTTTGCCTCTCCAGCAGAAGTTTCAAGTTCCAATCTCATCGGCCTGGCTCCAGTCACATGCCCATCTGTCAAGCAATCACTCAGTGGGGTGCAGGGGGGGTGCTGTGATTGGCAGGTTCAGGTCATATGTCCACTGGGTAAGAGCAAGGAGGATCACCCCCAAGGAAAACCAGAATGCTCTCTCAGAAGAGTGGGCCAAATGCTAGGGGGGCCCTGGGACGTTCTCCCCCTCCCAGCCCTTTGCACTGGTCACTCCTGTCCTCTGCTAGGGCTGCAGGGACTCACAAGAGCAGGCTATAGCAGCTACCCTGACTTGGCTTATGTCCCCACAGGGATTGAGTTTATAGTGACCCAGCTCAAGTCCATGGTGCTGACCTTGGGCCTGATTGACCTGCACCTGATGGTGGAGCAGGCTGTGCTGCTGTCACGCCTGGAGGAGGAGTACCAGGTGAGGAGTGGCACTTCAGGTCCCGCCTTACCTGTTCCTGATTCAGGCTAACTTGGGGAGGGGTGGCTAACCCACCTGAAATATTTTTGTATGCACTTGGCTTTTATTTCTTTTGTGTACATACAGAAACCAAAACTAAGGACCAATAAAAGTATTGTCAAGTAGTAATAATTTTAAAAAAATAGCAAATGCCGCTGCTGTGCTTGGCAGTCCCCACACTGCCTCACCTCCTCTTCTCAACAGCCAGGTCAGGTGGGGGCTGTGGTTATTCCCATTTTACACAGGAGGAAACTATGGCACAAGGTTGCATTTCCAGAAAATGTTCCAGCCTGGGTTTGAAGCCAGGTCTGGGTGACTCTAGGGCCAAGACCTTTAGCCCCTGCTCTGAATATGGAGGTTCATGGATAGCTAAAGACCATTTGGGCTTGATACGCCCTGCAGAGCAGGTCCTGTTGAGAAGACTGACTCCATTTGTGCTCCTAAGTTGGCCAAGCCTTCATACCCTCACATTGTATCTGGCTGGCAGAGGGGTAGCTGCTGTCTGTACAGAGTTTTGATTTAGGTGGCTCAGAATTAGGGTTTTGCTAACTCTCATTTAAATTTTTTAACTCTGAAAATTATGGCAGTCTTTGTAGTCTTATTGTTGTTGTTCTTGTTCCTCCAACCTCAGAAGGTTAATTGCTATTATGAGTTGGCTCCTAGTATGATAAAAACCTATTTGTAATGTCAGCATTTCCCAAGTCCATGTAGTCTTCTGCTCAGAAAAATACCAGGGGAAAAACTGTTTCTGTTCAGCAGAGGTGGCTAGCTACTTTTGGATATCGGAACCAATTACATGGGAAGGGGGTGACTTGAGGGCCTGGTGGGGACCCAAGAAACCTGGCTTCGGGTTTAGGCTCAGCTTTTGACTGCGGCACCCAAGCCAGACCATCATTCTCTGTTGATCCTCCATGACAGAGGAATAACCTAGATTGTGTATGTGATGGTATAAAATGAAAGTACAAAATGCTCTTCAGATGACATATTACAGATGTCCCCATTGAGACTGGGCAACCCAGCAATGCAGATAGCTTGTGAGGTGGGGCAGATGCTGAGCTCCTCGACCGGCTGGAGCAGCCAGGCCAGGGAGGAGCCAGCAGGGTTGGGTTGGAGTTGCACTAATGTCTGGACAGCTGCACTATGTTTCTGGGGCTCCTCCCTCTTGCTTTTAGAGCCCTGGAGAGAATCTGCAGCCTGCCCCAGCATGCAGAGCAGAGGCCTCTGTAGTACTGCAACTTCCCCAGGAGGCAGAACTGAAGCCACTGTGAGGCCTTGCTTGATTTATCCATTCCACCCCCAGGGAGACTGGGGGCACTCGCAGCCCATCATGGCGAGGCAGCTCATAGAGGATGACAGTCTAGAGGCTGCCTCATGCTGGCTTCCTAGTAGGATGAAGTGTGGGAGAAGTGAGGGCACACAGCTCATGCCTCCACAGAGCAGTCCCACGGATGGTTCTGGGGCCAGCCTGCCCAGCAGTGGGCAGCCACTGGCCGTGGGCCTGGACTGCTCTTTTCCCAGACCATCCGTGCCCCAAGAGCACGGGTGCCTGCTCTGGCCACCTGAGTGTTCTTACCTGCTGCCTCCCCTCCATGCATGTCTCACGTGTCTTGGCAAGATCTGAGGCTATGGCCCTCAGATCAACTATTGGGGTGGATGTGGCTCTGGCCAGCAGGCAGCCAGGCACCAGCTACTCGCCCAGCAGCTTGTCTTGTCCTCCCTTCAGATCCAGAAATGGGGCAACATTGAATGGGCCCATGACTACGAGCTGCAGGAGCTGCGGGCTCGAACCGCCGCCGGGGCCCTCTTCGTCCACCTCTGCTCTGAGAGCACCACGGTTAAGCACAAGCTCCTGCAGGAGTGAGGCAGCACCTGCCCTGCAGGACGGACCTGTACAGCCACAGCTCCTCCGGCCTGCGGGGCCCTCCTGACCTGCGGGGCTCCCCTGGCGTGGGGCTCCCCCAGCATGCGGGGCTCCCCTGACATGCGGGGCTCCCCCCATCTGCGAGGCTCTCCTGACCTGGGGGGCTCCTCTGGCCTGTGAGGTTCCCCTCACCTGTGGGGCTCTTCTGTCCTTCAGAGGTCGGCCTCGCTCAGCATCACCGAGAGATAGCCCCGAGCCACAGTGCTCTGTCCAGAGGTCAGCCTAAGTCCAAGGCAGCGAAGGAGATGAGGTGTACAAGTGACTTTCTCTTGACCCTGATTTTATTAAATATTTCTCCACTCTGGAAACGTGTTGAGCCCTGTTTCCATGAGCTCCTCTGTGCTTTTCCGTTCTTCTTGTTTTGTCTGGGTTGCATCAAGGTTAAGCAGCGTCTCTCCCATGGCACGTTTTATATCTGCTGCCCGTGGTTGGGAACCTCACGCTGGGGAAGCAGTCATGTCATCCACAGATAACTCCATTTGTGTTCTTCAGCCTTCAGCCTGAAGGCTTTTTTTTTTTTTTTTTTTTGCTGGATTTTAATCAAAAAATCTTTTGAAAGTGAGTCCTTCCTGGTCTAAGCTGGTGGTTTCTATTTTGTTCCTACTATTCTAGAAAAAATGATTTGCTCTTGAAAGTAGAAAATAGAAAGTTGTTTCTGGGTTAAACACCCTAACAGGCTTGGCAGTCACCTGATGCGCGTGTGTCCATTCACCTTCCACATGGGAGTCCTGAGAGTCCCCCCGACACGGCCGCTTCCACGGTGGCAGGCATTGCTTCCTGGTGCCAGGTCTGGTGAGAGGACAGTGGGGAGAGTGAAGGCCTCCTGAGCCCTGTGTCCATGCACACCTGAGTAACAAAATGGCCTCACCCCTGTTCACGGAGCACTGACCACGTGCCAGTTGCTTCCACGCTTCCCACATACTAGCCCTGAACCCCTTGATGTCACTCTGAGGAGGCACTGTCACAGATGAAGCCTAGGCTGCAGTGGTGACATGGAGCTGGGATGCCCAACCTACACTCTTCGCTTCTGGAGGGTCCTCAGGTCCCTTCGGCCAAGCTCTCAGGCAAAGGGAGCCGTGCCTTCTGCCTCAGTGGGCGGGCCCAGACCCCAGCACTGTGATGGGAGCCGCGGCCTCTCCTGCGTCCCTGCTCCTCTCGAGGAGAGCCGACCTTCCTTCGCCTCCAGCTGCTGCCCTCTCTGACACACACCTCAGAGGAAATGGCGCTGGCACACGTCTGACGTTATGCCACAGCCCAGAGTCTAGTTGACTGCCAGCCCCCTCGGGAGTTGCTGTTGTAGACTGGCCAAGGACCTGCTGTTCATCTTGATCTTTCTCCTGTTTATACATGAACATGAATTTTGATTTTTTTTTTTTAAAGAATAGGGGAAAGGTGACATGGGTCCTTTATTTTTCTCTACATTTGTAAGTTTTTCCAGGGGTGGGGAAAGAGGGTGTTAGGGGAGTCGTGGGTTGAGAAATTCCCAGTAACTGTCTCCTGAGGCTGTCATTGAAGTGTGTCCACTTCCTCCTCCTGCTTGAGCCTGGTGCTGTGTTTTGAAAGGGACCTTGGGACCAACACGCACCTAGTCTAGGATGTCGCCGTACTCCAGGTTGTCTAGTTCACTCTGCATGTGGTCGACGTATTGACTGATCTCCTTTACTCGCTCGCGGTTCCTCGTGGTCTCATCCCTGTGAATCTGGGGGGCGAGAACAAAGCCCACCGTCCTTAAATCAGATGCCTGGTTAACATCTGCTACCAAGCCCAGGTTGAGGGAAAGGAAGATAGTTCTTGGGATCCGTGTAATCCCTCATTGACTGCAGAGCCTCCCTGGGTTCTGCTGATCTCTACATATTTGAGGTAGGAGTTAGAGAAATGATGAAGCACATGTGTTTTAAAATCTCTTGGCAACATTAAGTCTTCAGTGTGGAATGCTACAATCCTTAATTTTATTTCTTCATTCCTTATTGAAAATACTACACACTACCTAGGGAAGATTTCCACCTGCTAGGATGGGTTAGCATTACTCACCTTGTCTACCAAGTGTGTACACCAAGAGTTGATCCTAGTCACCAGCTCGTCTTCTCGATTGTCAATCTTCAGGAGATGGATGTCATGTGACGCCCCGACAGCATTAATAATCGTATCTTTGTCTACAAAAAGCTGGTGAGTGAGAAGAATCAGATGAGATCATGCATGTCATTACACCCTGAGGACAAAGTCAGAGAGCTAAATAGAAAAGCAACACCTGGGAGTCCCTCGGCTGTGTTGGCCACATGCCCAGTGGAGAGCCCACTTTTCTACTGGTGCACTTTATGCCAGCTCATCTTCAGGTGACAACCACGTCCCCGACCCGAGTGCTTGGCAGGTTTTATGGGGAAAGGGCCAACCCTTGCATTCCTTATCAGGAGCATGTTAACTCCAGGGAGAAGGCAGACGGCTGCCCAGGGGTGGCCTTGCCCAGGACGTCTGTTCTCACAATGCTTCTCTCTCAGTTGCTCTCCAGTCTGACTTGCCCCAAACCTCTGCCAGCTGAGTGGGAAACGTGAGGCTGCCCAAGTGTCTGGAGGCTGCTCTGAGGACAGTGGCCCCTGCAAACCGATGGTGTTCACCACACAGTAGTCTCTCTACTGCCTCTCATGTCAACCAAATCAAACCTTGGATTCTCTTTGGTGTCTCCTGCCTTCTCTTGTTCCTGATCTTATTTGCTGCCTCGTAAAAAGCTGTTAAAAACAACCATCCTCATAGGCCTGTCTGTTGTGGGTGTTGACACTGGCTGTTGTGTGCCTGGAATGGTTGAAAATTGGAATCATTCCCAGAGCAGGGGAGGCCACTGAAGCACTTGGTAAGCAGGTGTTTCCACTTTGAAGCAGAGGTGTTATACTTTGTAATACCAAGGACAGCAAAGGACCTAAGTTCTCCATATTGTAGAGAGGACTGCAAGTGGAATGTATACTTGGGTTTTGTTGGGTTTTTTTCTTTCCTATAGTAGCAGTTAACTTAATGGTTTCCAAAATGTGTTCTGTGAAACCTTGAGATGTTAATATTTCTGCAAAAAAAGAGTATTGTTTGGTCAAATACATTTGGGAAAGGCAGTACCCCTTAGGCCTCTCCTGAAGATTCACAGGCCACACAAAGTATTCTGAAGGTGCTGCCAAGTCCTGTGGAAAATAAACCTTTTTAACTTTGTCTCTCTTGGTTTTCCACCTTACTTGGCCACAGACTTCTTCTCAGAGTAATGCTTGGTAATGTCTTGTGGGATGCTGGTTTTCCACAGAATCCCTTGTGGGAAAAGCCAAGTTAGCTCATGTGGCGAATGGGGTCTCTGGGGGACCAATTAGTATAGTCACATGGAAGAAACGACAAGTTATTAAGTTCTTTGTCTGCACATGCAAGGCCCCAGGCCAGGCTCTGGGAATGGTTCACAGATGTGCAAAACCTGCTCTCCATGAGCCTGATTGCTCAGCAGTGGGTGTCCCAGTTACTTTAGAAATAGCTACAATCACAACATCAACCTATTGTGAAAAGGTTCTCATCCTTCATTCTCAAATGTGGGTCGTAGCTGATAGCTTAAGCCAAGCAGAGAAATCATCCCCCTCAGAGTTTGAATATATAGAAAGCAGCTTTGGAAGCTGAGGACAACAGAAACTGAAGTCTGCTTAGAAACATATGAGACTAAAATTGGTTATGAAAAACTATGTGACATTTGTAAAATACAAACAAAAGGAATCTGGTTTAAAGAAATTATTTAAAATGGAAGTTGCAAGTTGTTTCTGGACTTCAGGTGGCTTAGAGTGGCAGCTCCTTTAATTTTTCCCTCTTACAATAAGTACATAGAATTTTCAGGTAGAATATTCTGGATCCCCTTCCAGTTTCTGCAGATTGAAAGCACTAGAGTAGATGCAGCAACTGCACACAACTTGTGAGGAGCAACAGCTGCTCCTGGTTCCCTGAGCTGTTCCACCCTGTTCTTTGGTCCTCAAAGCTGTGAAGACACATTTCTTTCAAAGTGACTTTTGAGAGTGGCACAGCTGGTGCCCCTCCCCAGGACCACTGCACCGCAGAATGACCCGGTGGCCCCCTCCACCACAGACAAAGGAGCAACTTGCCCTATGCCAAGGGGGTCTCCTGGTGCTGGCTGGAATCTCATCACAGCTGCCCTCTCCATGGACTGCTGGCTGGGTCAGACCACTGTCACTCAAGCAGACTCTCTGGGGACTCGAAAGTCCTCCCCATGGTCTAGGCCTGAGCACTGTCCTACCCTTGCGGCTGGACACCCACATGGATATTCAGAGCACGCAGGCAGCATGTCTGACGTCCCTGCCAGCTTCCACACGGGCAGCTGCGGCTGCCAACAGCACTGCGAGGCCCTGCCTCCCTGCCCGCTCCAGGCCCTCTCCTCAGCATGTACGCTCTGCTTTTCCTCTCAAAGCTGGAAGGACTTGAAAGTACAGACATGGGCCAGGTTTGGCCTAAGTATGGCATGAGTGATAACAGTCGCTCAACTGAATGAGAGGAGTTTTAGATATAACCTAAAATGTGGTGTATGATATGCTCACGGATAATCAGGTAACAGAAGCCAGATCTTTTTCACCCAAGGCCCTAGCCCCTCCTCTGAACACCTACGTCTTACTAAAGGCTCAGTAGACGTTTTGTCAAAGGCTTTGAGTCAAACTGCCTGTGTTCAAATCAGAACTCTACCATTTATCAGCTGCGTATCCTCAGGCAGATTACCTTAATCTCTGCGCCTCAGTTTTCTTATCTGTAAAAGGGAACCATACAGTACCTACTTTACCATATTGATGTGAAGATTAAAAGAGTAAATTTGTATCCACTGCTTCTCACAGGGCTGGCCCTCATGAGGCCCCTAGTCAATGTCATCTATTTGTTGGTATTATTACTTCTTACAGTCAGGGCATACTTCTTCCTCCTGAGAACAATAGGCCATGTTTTTTTGCTTAAATGTAAGGAGACAGGCAATGGTGTAAGGTCTTAATTACGCCTCTTGCTGCAATTGTGGACATTTGCAAAGGGACAGAGGTTGGAACTGGCTTACAGAGGGAAGGGGTGGCTGTCCCCTCTGAAGCCTTGAAGGCAGTAGTCCACACCAGTCCTCCCAGCGAGTCCAAGGCAGGCGGCCCCTTAGCTCAGAGGCTCAACCCCATGGCCTAGTGCCTGGGGCCATGGGCACACCCAGAATGCCCACCGACCTGCAGTCTACACTGAGGGGAGCAGCACTGGCTCTGCCACAGTGGCCCAGGCTATGCATCTGTCAGTAGAGTCTGAATCCAGACTCTGGTCCTCACAAGGTTTGTCATCGTGAGCAGCTTACTTGACTTCTCTAAGCCCCAGTCTTACCCATGTTCTTATCTGTAAACTGGAGACAACAATAGTACCTCCTTCACAGGGTCCCCCGATGAAGTAAATGCGATCATGTGTGATCATCCGGCCTGGGCAATGGCAAGCCCTCAGTGAGCGGAACTCTCATCACTAGTCACTATGGCCAGCAGGTGCTGATGCGTTCCTGGAGCCACAGGAATGGATGTCAGATGGCACCAGGCAGAGCCAGCCAGGCATGAAGGAGGACTGGCCACTGGAAGCTCCAGCCCAGCCAGCTTCTCTGCCATGGGCCTCTGGGACCCATCTTTTCTGTGTGTCCCAGTCATTAGGGGGTGAGCATGTTTCAGTCCTGTGCCCAGTGGGTGTCACAGACCCAGGTGCTGCGCCATGCGGGAACTCTACCCACCAAGATGGTCTGTCTGGGAAATTCTTGAGTGGGCTCTCTCAGGGGAGCCTATCGTCCTGGCTTGGGAAAGGTGGCATTTCCTGTATCTGGTCAATAGCAGTTAGCCAAATCTAACAGCTTAGGGAGGAAAGGCTGGCATCCCTGTGGCCCTGCCACCGTGCCGCTATGTTGGGTATCTATCTCGGTCCCAAGACAGAGGCTGGGGGAGTGGGGCTCTGCTGGTCCTCTGTGCCTGCAGGACTCAGTCCAGCGTCTGACAGAGCGGAGACTCTGTGGATGTGCACACTCACACTCATTCCACAGACACGCCCCGGCATCTCCACCGTACACTGTATACTGTTGCTGGCACTGGGGAGGTACATGGTGGTGAAAAGGCCCTTCCTGTCTCTCTCATGGGCTTATATGTAGTGCGAATAGTCACACAAGCACATTGACCTAAGCCAGGTGGTTTGAAATTGTGATGAGACTCTAACCTGATAAATGGGGTATGCGATAGACAATGGTTTTTCAGGAAGGTGATGAGGGAAGGCCTCTCCCATGAGCTGATATCTGAGCTGAGATCTGAATGACAAGGACAAGCCAGGCACATGGGGACCTGAGGGAAGAGCACGTCTGCCAGATGGAATATCAACTGAGAGGAGCAAGCTGGACCCTGGGGAACAGCTCAGAGGGTTGGGGGGCGGTTGCCAAGGTGAGCAGGCCCAGTTGTGAGGTCTGTGCACTGTGGGGGAACGCTTACTCTGAGTCTTGGGAAGCCACTAGAGGGTGCTGTGCAGAAGTGAAATAGTGTGGTTTGGGTCTTCAGGGATTGCTCTGGCTGCTGTGTGGAGGACAGCCTGTAAGAGAACAGTACAGAGGCGAGTGGTCCAGGGGAAGGGCATCAGTGGCTGGCTTTGGTGGTAGCACGTAGGTGGAGAGGAGCTGAGAAACTGGCAGCGGGGTGATGGATGCACGAGTGAAAGCGAGCCCCTGATAAAGCTACGAAGACTGGCCCTTCCATCGCCTGCGCTCCTTCCCAGAGACATACGCGCGCTGCTACTGGGCCCCAATGCAGAAGACCTGCAGAGCCTTCTTAGTGCGCAGACCCAAGGTACGAGGCAGGTGCTCCGCGGTGACCCCGCTGACCGTGTGACCATTCATCACTGGATGTGCTGGTGGAAACTGGGATGGCATCATGCTGGATCAGAAATAGTACTGGGCCGGGGTATCCAACTTTCCCGTAGTACTTCATAGAGACTCTAAAGTGAAGAAGACCTCGGGGGGAGATCTCAGACCTATTTGTAACTGCTTTTCTTAGAAAGTGCCAGAAATCCCCACAGAATTGAACTTTTGGAAACCAACCCGTTGGAAAGGTGAAACCACCTAATTATCATGAGCTCCTCTTTAGTTGGGCCCCCCTGGGTGCCCAGCCAGGTGCTTTGTTTTTTTAGCCTATTTCATCTGACGACTCTGCAAAGCGGGTTACTGTCCCCTTTTGCATATGAGGAAACTGAGGCTCCAGGAGGTTTTCAGTCTTACTCAAGCGACAGAGCGGGCCTGGACCAAGTCTGTCAAGCACGCGGGAGCCTCGCGCCCAAGCACGCCCCGCCCAGCACCGCTCTTCGGGCCCCGCCCACCGGGCTCCGCCCAGCAGGACCCGCCCCGCCCGCCGCACTCACCAAGCGCACGTCGTCAGGCAAGTCTTCGTCCAGCTCGCCCTTGACGTTCTTCTCGAGGGTGTTGATGGAGATCTCCAGGAGCTTCTCGTGGTGGTGGTTCTCCAGGTCCCGGCACTGAGCCATCGTGCAGCCACGAGTTAAGCAAAGGCCAGGGACGGAGCAGACCGACGCGTCCCTGACAAGCACTCTGACGGCGGGGGCCGTTTCAGCTGCACGGGAACAGACTTTCAGGGCTGAAGGCGAACTCTGAGGCACCAGGTGCATCCGTGCCGTCACAGCCGTCCACCCACATGCAGTAAACCCCGGGGGCCATCCCAACACTCCCGTGCCTGCCCCTACACCTGGTCATCACGGACCCTCAGCGCCTGGCTGTCCCTCCATCATCCACTTCTCTCCACCCCCACGGCCTCCCAACTGGACACTGCAGTGCGCTGCCCGCTGGCCTCCTCACTCTCACCCTTGCTCCCCACAGCAGCCAGAGCGAGCTTGAAGATGTAGACAGTTGGGAGTCCATCTGCTTTGCGTAAAGCTGCAGGAAGCCTCCCGCTCTCTAACTTGGCCTAAAGGCCTCCTCTCTGAAATGGACTTCTGTGGCCAGTCCTCAGGGTCTTTGCACAGGCTGCCCCCCCTGCCTAGAATGCCCTCCCCACCCCTGTACATGGTCTGGTTGGCCACCCTCAGGTCCTCACTTAGTGGACCCTCCTTCAGGAAGGCTCCTGGCCCCCACCCTGGGTTAACTCCTAGTCACCCTGTACCTTTGGTACCACTTATTACCTCCATAACTTCTGTCTCCCTGCTGGACTGTGAGTCCCAGGAGGGCAGGACCAGGCAGTTGCTTCTGGGTGGGGCACAGCAGTTTGCCCCCCATCGTGGCAGGGCCCTGAGTTCAGGTGGCAGAAGGGTTGGTCATGCTCCAAATGTCGGCTCCTAACCCTAACATTTAACCTGACCAGCTCATTATAAATAATTGTCAGTGTCTGCAACGTGGATGGTGCCTCACCCCCAGAGTGCTTTTGTCTGCAGCACAGGGACAGGCGGTGATTCTGGGGCATCATCTCCCCATGAGCTTCACCCATGTAAGAACAAACACGCCAGGACTCTACTCCAAACTATCATAACAAGACCGTCATTGTTCTGAAGGAAGGGAAACCCCCTTGGACTCCATGGAACATTCTTTTGAACATTGTAAGTGGTTGCCAAATCTGCATCCTTTGAAGCCGAGCTTTTCCTTGGTGAAAAACTGGAGGTTTTATATTCCCCTAATTTCACAGGTGGTGATTTCCACTAAATAGGATCCTACGACAAATTTAAATATCATCTTGGTGGAGGTGTAGATCTTTTTGTAAATCAAACGGGGAGGAGGTATTTCTGGTAAAAAGTAAAATATGATTATAGAGCGCTGACTTTTTACTATCTCTGCCAATGTATTTAGGGCACCAGTGGCAGTGGCGGGGGTGGAGGTGTCACTGCAGATGGCCATCTGGAAGGGAACCCCACTTATTTGTATTCTGCTTACTTTTCAAAGAAGCTTCACCCTTCCTTGCCTTTTGTTAAAAATACAGGTGCCTCTCCCCTAGCTCCTTAAGAGGCCAGGACAACCCAAAGGCCCTGTAGCACCTCCTCATGGGGAAGTCATCAAAGAAAGGATATAGGCTTTGGACATTTTCGATAAACAGTCCCACCAAGTCGATGATGTTCCTTTCGAACAAGTTTATAGTCTCCTGGAAATGACAACATAGTTAACATGCATATTTAGACACCCAGCATCAGAGCAAAAGTTACTCCTTAGCACTTAGCAGTCTCCTCCTCTAATCACAGAACTTCAGGGTAAAGACCACGCACCTTGACCTTCCTGGGCAGATGGTTGGGAACTCTCTCTCCAGAGCTCTGTTGCTCTGCAAGCATATTAACTCACTCACCACCTGAACATCTAATACTTTCACCGGACCTTTGCCTGTGCCAGTCTTTCTCCCAGGAACACTTGTCCTGGTCTTGTTGTCCTCATCCCCAACGCACACACAGAGCTAACCCCCTTCCTTTGGGCTTCTCAGTGGCATTCACCCATCACCCCAGGAAAACAGCGAAGTGAGTTGTCAAGAACCAGACTACCTGGGTGGATATCCCAGCTCCACCGCTGTGTGTAACTGTGGGAAAGTTTACCTCCCTGGGCCTCAACCTCCTTACTTGTGAAGTGGGTTTCCTACATAGTACCTGTCTCACAGAGCTGGGGTGGGGTTAAATGAGTCACTTCATACAAAATGCTTTGCGAGCTGCCTGGCAGAGAGAAGGCCCTCCTAAGAGCTGGCTGTTACCCCAGGCCTCTACTGTTAGTTGCTGTTGCCCGGTGCTTAGCAAGGCACCTAGGGCCTAAACGGGACTCAGTAGCGACTGAGCGAACAATGGAAGATGCAGCTGTGAGGCCTGCTACTCTGGGAGCACCCCCGCTATCTGCCATAAATTCCAGGGGCTGCAAGGTGGGCCACGGGTGCAGGGGATCTACAGGAGCCTGAGGACTGTCTGCAGGCTGAGCACACTGTGCATTTTTCAAATGTATGTAAGTGCTGTTATAGTAAATAAAAATAGGGTCATTGAAAAGTATCATTGCCCTTGCAGCTTTTGGGCTGCTGGTAACACAAGTGTGACAGTGCACGGGTCCTGGGAAATGTTTGGATGTTGAAAAGCAATCTCCCTGCCTACAAACGTTGGGAGCTGCTGCCTCCCTCCCCTGGTGCTGCACGCTGCTTCTGCAGTGCTTGCACATTCCCCAGTGGGGAACAAGCATCTGCCATGTGATGTGATGGGGAAATCTATCCCATGTCTGAGGTGTCACTTGACGTGTGAGGAATTGATTAGGTGCTATCTCGTGGCCCAGCCACAGCAGCAGCCAATGCGGTTCAATTCATCACACTACATCAGACTCCCAGCCTCTGATGCCTTGTGAACACACAAGTTACTCTGGCCCCTGATGAATTTGAGACAGCAGTGCTTTTCATTTCTACTACTTAGTGCTGAGTTGCCGGCTCCTCGCATCGCCTAGGAGGTAGCAACTACAGGCTGCAATGCGGAGGAGCCTTTGTTTGGTCCCCAAGTGGGGGTCCACTTTGTCTTCCAAGCACCCAAACAGTTCCTTTAGCCTAATCAAAAACCCCTCCCTGCTGAGGCTCTGGGCTCTTCCACATGGGGCAAACATTCCAGAGTAATGAGCTCACTTCTCATTCTCCACAAGAATCTTTTCTAATCTAAATTATTAAAACATGTTAAAAGCAAACACAGGACTGATGAGCAAGAAAGCTTTAGCCTGACACGCTGAGTGGCACTGGACGTTTCCAACAGGGGAGCGCGAGGGACAGCCGCAGCTCGAGCGCAGACCTGCAGCCGCACGCACTTGCCCCCCACGCCCAGCCTCACCTCCAGCTGCTCCACCAGCTGCATCTCCAGCGTCATGAGCGCATTGAACAGCTCCGTGATGTCTTCGCCACACTCCATGATCTTCTTCTCAATGGTGGGCACCTCAGACTCTTCTCGAATGGTATTTAAACTCTGGAAACAAAAGCCTGTGCCTTAGGAATCAATTACTAAGTATAGTTAGTTAATGGCAGGTGGCGATTTGGTTTTATGGGTAAGAACTTGGACTCAGGAGTCAGCAAGTCTCAGTTTTGCCACTGGCCAGCTCTGTGAGCTTGTAGAAGTTGCCTACCCTCTCCATGCCTCAGTCTCCTTGACTGTAAAGTGGTCATGATAACAGCCCATACCCATACCCGACACAGCTAAGGAGAATCCCGTGAGCTCTAGTAAGTGCTCGATGCCTGTTAGCTCCGGTTTTTATTAGAGGCTGCTGGGCAGGTGGAAGGAGCCCCAAAATACGCTGCTGTGGAATGTTGGCTATTTTAAGACACTTAAAAACAGCAGATGCAAAGAGGACACTCTGACTTCCCCTTTTCTTCCTGAAAGCAGGAGATGAAACTCCTACGTAAAAGGCGCTCTCCCTGTACTTGGAGGAAGGAAGACATTCTTATCACTAGAGATGGGGAGTCAGGGCCGAGAGAAATCTGTACAAACCTTGTTCAACTAACCCTTATCTGCCTAGTCAACCTCCACAATTAATTGCTCTAGCCCAAACCCCTTGGTTTGTCATGTTTTCACAATTTACTACTCTTTGTCCAACCTAGTATAAGCTTTTAGCCCTAACTGTTTCTTTGGGTCTTCATTTTTCTTGTGAGTGCTCCCATGTACACGTAAAAATTACTAAACAAAATTTGTATGTTTTCTCCTGTTAGTCTGTCCTATGTCAGTTTAATTCCTGGTCTCACTTGGAGGCCCTAATAGGGTAAAGGAAGAATTTACCTGCCCTACAACTTCAGAGTCAGGTGGACCTGAATTTGAATCCTGCCTGGGTCACATATTAGCAGTGTGACCTTGAGAGAGCCACTTGCGTTTTCTAGGCTTCGGTTTCATCACTGTAAATGGGGAGAAGAATCTGTGCTTCATAAAGTCTTGGGGATCAGAGGCCAAGTATGTGATGTGTCTGGCGAGACTCGACTGATGAAGGTTCCTATAAAAGGCCTAAAACAGGCACAGGTTGGGAGAGACACTGGAAAGGAAAGACAGCTTCAGTCTTGGAGGAAGTCAGGTGAACCCGCACGGAACCCCAGTGAGGAAGCGGAAGCCAGCGGTGAGCATGCTGAACGGTGTGGGATGAGAGGTGCTTACGGGCTGGAGAGCGGCCTGGCGTCCAAGCACGGCGCTGAGTACCAGCTGTTCACTAGCAAAGGGCCTGGGATCGCAACCAACACTGGGTGCAACATCAGCTTGTTTTTGTTGACACTTGGTATTTATCACGAAGAAGGACAGAGTAATGACATGATTCAGTGGGGTGAACGATATTCACAATAATGGCTACTCCATCTAGAGAAAAACCAGGCTCAATCCCTACCTCAGGCCTTACAGGAAAACAAATTCCTGATGGAGTGAAGATTCAAATGTAAAAAATAAAATCATAAAAGTGCTAGAAGAAAACATGGGGGATTTTTAATAAACAATCTCAGGGTGGAGAAGTCTTTCTCAAGTACAGCCAGAGGAAAAGATTGATAAATTCTACTACATAAGAAAATGTGCATATGCTACCGGGAGGCCAAGGCGGGAGGATTGCTTGAGGTCAGGAGTTTGAGACCAGCCTGGGTGATACAGTGAGACCCTGTCTCAAAATCTTTTTTTTTTTTTGGAATTCTGAATGGCAAAAGCACCACGGACATAGTGGCAAAATAAACAACAAAATGGGAAAAATATTTGCAACTCATTTCACTGATATAGGGCTAATCTCAATCTATAAAGAGCTCCTACAAAGTAACAATATTTTAAAAAAGAAAGATGTACCAAAACAGAGAGACAAAAAGCAAATAGAAAAATGAATAAGATCAAAATATAAGAACAAATAGTTCTCACAATAAGAAGTACAAATGGTTGTAGAATACGTGCTGCTCACCCCCAGTTGGGGAAATTAAACTCTTACCGAAGGTGCATGAGATTCTCAAGCGTGAGAAAGCTTGTGACACTGGCCTGACAGCGCTGTGGGTGGTACAGGTTCTGTGGGGTACAGTTAAGTCCTAGTGCACAGTTCTACTTTTAGGACTTCATCCTGCAGGTCAAACTTGCACCTACTTGTTCAATGGAACAGTGAAAGAGCAAAAGATTGGAAAGAAACTTAATTGTCCATCAGTAGGGACTGGTGAAATAATTATGGTTCATCCATGAAATGAGAAAAATATGAAGCAACTCTTTCATTTTGGAAGACTTTCCAAGATGCATAGATGGCACAGGAAAGCAAAATGCAGGAAAGTGCATGCTAAACTTTCATCACACACACACACACACACGCACACGCACACGCACACGCACAGATACGCGGTAAGGAGGGAGACTGTCTCCTTGTGGGCATTTTCCATTCTGCGCCATGTGTGTGTACTGCCTATTCGAAAGTGAACCCGACTGCACACAGACTCACTTGCCTCAGGCCTTGCACGAGTGCTTTCCCTTTTTTTTTTTTTTTGTGTTCAAATCCAGTTTTATTAAATCTGACAATTTTGATAGCAGTACAAAATCTGTGACTATGACCATGGACATGAGTTTGTTTTGGTTTGTTGTAGGTTTGGGAACCTGTACTTTTCTAAATCTTCTGCTCTTTATTTCATTACTAAATGGCAAAGTGCCTTAAGTTCCTCTATCTATTATTCATAGAAAAGGAATCTGTAAAATCAGATTGAAAAAATAAATTCCACAGATTTGAAAAAATTCTCTTTGAATATTAAGGACATACAAAGTATATTAAAGACAACTACATTTAGTCCTTCAGGTAACAAAGCAGGCATTTGATGTTTGTGGTTTCTTGGTTTTACTTGCTAAACCTGGTCAGAGACCAGAGTGTTTCCAAAAGCTACAAAAATCCTTATTGACACTCCAAGTATGGTTTCAATGGAATTAGAGGATAGAACTAGGAGAGCACTTAATTTGGCTTTTAAAAATCACAATACTTTTTTCTTCAATGGGATTTTTCTTCTGCAGTAGCTCAGGACACTATTTGCTTACTTAATGCCTTATAATTAGCATCTGCCTTACAGTAGATCTACGTATTGGCTTACTGAAGTGTATTACTGGACAGCAAGTGGTGGGTGAGCTTCCTGACCAAGGCAAACGTACAGCAGACCTTAAAGTACAATCTCAGGATTTAGTGCTCCTTAGTTGTTCTCCAGTGAACCTGAAGTTGTAAATGGAGTTCTGATTCCAAATTCGCTATGGAATGTCATGGTGACTTTATTTTTATGCACTGTTCTTTGATCAAAGGCATGGCACGTATCAAACGGTGGACTGTACAAGTGAAGGCTCACGGCAGGTTCTTTTCCCTTTGTCTCGCCGGTTCCTCACTACAGTTCCACAACACGGTCATTTCCATTTTATGATTGAGGAAAGGAGGATAGGAGAGGGTCCGTAATGTACCTCTGCGTCACCAGTGGCAGGTCTGAGCCCCAAACCTTATATGACTGCACCACGGCCTGAGGTGTGCCCCACCGGGCACGAGGGCAGGGCTGTGTGCAACGGAGGAGGCCTAACGGGGTGTGGGGGTGGGTGGGAGGATTTTGGGACAAAGCTATGGGAGAGGGCATGTGAGGGGAGGGAATGGGGGCTCTCAGGGCATGTGCGGCCTTGAAAACTTCCAGGACAGTGGCTTCAACTTAGACTGAGCATCAGAAGCACCCAGGGAGCTCTGGAGAATCCCTGTGCCAGGCCACACCCCAGATTGCCTAAGTGGGTGCCCCTGGGCCAGGGCATGAGCATATTTCCAGGCCTCACGAACTCTGCGTACAGGCTGGGTGAGATCCACTGTTCTAAGGCCAGGAGGGGAGCCCGGGGGTTTGCCAGCTCATCCAAGGTGGCCTCTGAGCGGGCAGCCTGCTGTGAAGACACACGCCCGATCCACACTGAATCCGGGGAGCAGAGCAGCTCCTTCCGAGTCAGGCTCGGCCTGGCCCACGTCCTGCTTCTTCAGAGGGACTTGCTGCTGAGGGGCCAGGCCGCCTGGCCAGGCTTCAGGAGAAGCCAGCCCATGAATATCCAGGTGTCCCAAACCCAATGGCTACCGGGATCAGATAAGAAAGGTCAGGGAGGAAAAGGCTGGGCAGGGACTGGGGGACTAGAGACATGGCCTGTCCAGAGGGGACAACCACCACTCAGGAACCAAATGACAGCTTCCTCCAGAGAAGCTGGCAACCACAATTTTTCTGTGAAATCTGCCAGTTTCTAATGTCAGCAAAATGTTCAAAACGTTTTTAAACCCTCTGCAGGCCAAATAAAACACATATGTGAGCCTAGTGTGTTTCTCTGCTGATGGTTTTGAACTTTTGGTTGAATGCAGTAACACCCCTCCCTGTAACATTATAAGGAGGGTCTTGAGAATTAAATCCCACAGATTGTGAGGTCCTGTTAGTGAGGCTAATGCGACAAGAATGAGGTGGGGGAGTGGGGAGGGCTGGGAAGCATATGGAGTCGATCACCAACTCTGTTAGATCTGCCCTCCCAGGGGATTTTTCTCTAATGTTCACAACAAGGAATAGCTTTATGGGCTCCTTGAAGCCCCTGATGCTATAAGCAAACCTGGTGTGTGTGAATAGTTTTTGAGGAGAAAGAGGATCCATAGCCTTCCTTAGTGTCTCACAAAGATCTGTGATTTAGAACACATTGAGAATCCTGTCTTTAAAAGTAATGCTAAGGCCGGGCGCGGTGGCTCACGCCTGTAATCCTAGCTCTCTGGGAGGCCGAGGCGGGCGGATCGTTTGAGCTCAGGAGTTCGAAACCAGCCTGAGCAAGAGCGAGACCCCGTCTCTACTAAAAATAGAAAGAAATTAATCGGACAACTAAAAAATATATATATAAAAAATTAGCCGGGCATGGTGGCGCATGCCTGTAGTCCCAGCTACTCGGGAGGCTGAGGCAGGAGGATCGCCTGAGCCCAGGAGTTTGAGGTTGCTGTGAGGTAGGCTGATGCCACGGCACTCACTCTAGCCCGGGCAAAAGAGTGAGACTCTGTCTCAAAAAAAAAAAAAAAGTAATGCTAACTAGGCTGTGGCTCACGCCTGTAACCCCAGCACTTTGGGAGGCCAAGGTGGGAGGATTGCTTGAGGCCAGGAGTTCCAGATCAGCCAGAGCAAGAATGACACTGTGTGTGTACAAAAAAAAAAAACAAAAAAACAGAAAAATTAGCTGGGCATGGCGGTATGTGCCTCTAGTCCCAGCTAATTAGGAAGCTGAAGCACAAGGATCACTTGAGCCCAGGAGTTTGAGGTTGCAGTGAGCTATGATGAGGCCACTGTACTCTAGCCTGGGTGACAGAGCAAGACCCTGTCTCAAAAAAAAAAGATAACACTAACTAAAAGAAACAATTCCCATCAAGTGCAAAGATTGGTACCCCTTCCAATGGCACCTGCTTGGGCCAGGCCCAGTGGCCTGATTAGGCTGGGTCCTGAACGCCTGGGGCGTTCCTTTGCTGTTCCCCCGGGTGGAAAGCCCTTCCTCCCCACTCAACTCTTCTTTGTCCTATAAGCCTCAGCCTGAGTAAAGTACCCCCAGGACACCCCCAAGGCTCCCTGGGCTTCCCTCTAGGTTAGCACTGACCCCTTCACTCACTCAGTGGGGAGGGCCTCGGCCTGGGTCTGAGTCCCACAAGGGCAGGAACCATGTCTAGCGTGGCTCCAGCTTGCCAGGGCTGGGCACAGAGTGGGGCTCAGGTTATGTCTGTTAAATGAATGAATGAATGAATGAATGAACAAAAGAAAAGTAGTAGTTGTCATCATCCTCATCATAATAGCATGGTCATACGAATACAGTTATTAATAGTGATGATGATGATAAGGAGGTGGGGATGGGGACGACCTTGAATCCCAGGGCCATTTTATGTGCCAGAGACCCACAGGCCCCACACACAGCTCTTCATCGTGCAGCAGGGAAGCTGTGGCTGGTGGTACTGGGTAAGGTGGACCTTGGCTCTGGGATCCCTGGCAAATGGGGATGATGATCATGGGACTCCGGGGTCATCACAGGGTACAGTAGTTGCAGTCCCGCCACAGTGGGGGTCGGGGCCAGCACCATAGACTAGGAGGCACGGCAGCCTTGGGGCCTACCAGCAAGTACTTCTCCTCAAACTTGGCAATCCTGTGTTTGCCTTGCTCCTGGTTTTCCTGGATGGCCTCGTGCACACATTCATTGAAGGTGTCAAGCTCTGTTTTCCGCTTCTCATGCTGTTTCAGGCCATACTCGAAAATGTTCAGGCAGATGATGACAAATTTGTCCTTGTAGGTGAGTGGCTGTTAAGGAAGCTCACGGCTGTGTCGGGAGCAGGCCACTGGGGATGGGTAGGGGATGACAAAGGTGTTGGTGACTCCCCGAGCAGAGTGCAGACTGTGTGCTCAACACCGTGTGCGGGATTCGAACCATGGTCTCATCTGGTCCGTCTGACAGATGAAGACACTGCAGAGATAATGTGGCGACTGGGGCAACTCCACCCTCAGCCTGTGGGAGTCAGGAACGGGGCCTTTGTGGGGGAGGCAGGGGCCATAGGAGGCGTCCACAGGGCAGAGGAGAGACATGCTAAGAAAGTCCCAGAAGAGACTCCTGGGAGACCTGAGGGGCCAGGGAGGGGCTGCGAGCCCGGAGAGCCAGCCCGGTCAGGGAAATCGGCAGTGGGCATTTTTGTCTCTGGTGTGTTATCTAGAAGAGTTCCTCTACTTGAGGGCCTATCTTGGTGCTCAGCTGCTGTATCTGAGCTGGGGGAAGACCACAGGGTTCAAGTCCTGGCTCTGCCACTGCTTCTGGGACCCACCCTGGCAAATCACTTCACCTCTCCAGGCCTCAGTTTCCTCATCTGCAGCTGAGGGTACAACAGAACCTACCCTACGGAATTCTTAGTAGGGGTTCTTGGAGTCAGGCAGGTAAAGCCCAAAAGGCCTTCAGTGATCCTGGGGATGGAAACTCATGCTCAGAGAGGTGGAAACCCTGGCCCAAAGTCACATGGCCACACAGCCCTAGAGCTGAGAGGCAAACACAGGTCACCCAGCTGGTGGTGGCGAGGCCAGGCTGGGAGCCCCTCCCTCATTCTTTTCAGAATGTCGGGGTTTGAGTGAATTTCTCTCTATCCAGTGAAGGTCACCATCTGTGAGTGTTCCTCATCTCAGAGCTCTCAGATTCAGTAACTCCTCCAGTCTACCCTGAGTCCCTCAGCTTACAATTTAAGCCTATTTGTTGGTTGTCATGGCCACAGTCATATGACGAGTACTGACCACACCTTCTGGGCTCTGGCTGGCTGGAGAGAAGAATGCAGACTCTCAGGCCCCACAGACGGCGTGACCTCAGACAGCCGCGGAGCCTCCGCAGGCTTCGCTTCCCCAGCCGTGAAATGGAGTGAATGAGGGCGCCTGTGCAGTGGGTGGCTGGGAAAGCCGTACGTCCCGTGTGCGAGCGCACGGCAGGAACAAAGGAGAGTGGCCGATAAGGATCGTTGCTGTAGATGCACCTTTCAGTCGATTTCTCCACCTCCGAAACCTGACTTGCCAAGCACAGCTGACCCTGGCCATGTTGACCAGACTCTCAACGTGTCCCCGAAATCCAGACAGCATTTCCCCATGCCGCTCAGATGACCTGTCTCCAGGAGCACATCGCTCTGAAGCGGACAGTTTACTTTCCAGGGTCTTATAAGAGACATGGGGAAACCGAGGCCCAGCGTGGAAGGGGACTTGCCCAAGGCAGGCTGGCGGCACGGGGACCAGGCTCTGTCAGAGGAGGCAGCTGTGAACTCAGAAGGATATGCCTCGAGGAGCTCGCTGACACCGGGCAGGTAGGACAGCTTCTTGCCCTCCACGTCCTCTGTGTACATGCTGTCAAACAGGAAGGAGCCGTTCAGGTGCTCAACAAACGCAGCCTGCGGGCAGAGCACACCAGGGCGCGGTGACTCCAAGGAGGGCCCCCTAGTTCATCTCACAGGCCCCTGCGAGGGCACACGGTGCGGGGCTGCGCCAGGCACTGGGACTGGTGAAGGCTTCATGGAGGAGGGGCTGCTGCACTTGGGCTCCAGCCTCTGAGGAAGGCAGGTTGGGGGCAGTATTCTAGGCAAAGGGAATGGCACGTGCGGAGGTGCGGAGGCCTAAAACTGCAGGCCGTTTCCATGTGGCTCGTTGTGGCTGCAGGGAGGGGTGAGGACTGGCGGGAGGGAGGCCAGCAGGGCCCAGTCATGATTTCACCCATCTGAGCTAAGGGACTTGAGCTGTTCCTGCCGTGCCACGGGGAACTGCCTGAGAGTCTTAAGAAAAGGAGCAGCTCTGACAGACTGTCTAGCACATTCTCTCCAGCCCTGGGCTGGAGGCAAGAAGGCCAGTGAAGAGATGGGTCGGGGTCTGGGCTGAGATGGAGCTGGCCCTGGGCAGAGTGAGGTGGGGAGAGGGCATCAGACCCTGTGTTCTCAGAGCCTGGGGACCTCTGCCGACCTCTGTTGAACCAGATCGGTGCCCTCACGTGGGCATCTCCGAGCCGGGCCGAGGTGTGCAGCCGGCCCGCGTGGTACCTTGTGTTTCTGCAGCTCCTCCCGCCGGGCCTGCTCGTCCTCCAGCCGCGCCTGCATCAGGCTCTCCCGGTGCTTCAGCTCATCGATGCCGTACTGGTGCTTGGCCTCCGCCAGCTCTTTCTGACCCAGGAATAGGAAGAGGAGCCGTTACCAGAGGATGTCCGGTTCCTCTGAGCCACACTGCCTCTGCTGTCCTGTGGCCTCCTGCGCATGGGCAGGGGCGTTGCACGGGTCCCCGTCATAAAGGCTGTGAAAGCCAGGAGGTCTTGTGGAGAACGGCTCCTCTCCCTGTGGCCCTTCGCAGCTGTCTGAGTCTAAGGGAGGTCAAGGAAGGCTGCACGGCAGACTGAGGCTGAGGGCTATGTCGGGGTGGGGGCCCAGTCATGGAGCACCCCTCCACCGGACTTGGTGTCCTCCTCGGAGCACTTGCTCACTGCCCCCCAGCAGGCCTCAAGGCAGGCCCTCTGGCACCTTTAGGCAAGGACAATGGGAGAGGTAAAGGGAGTCACCTAAGGCCATAGGGCTGGTCACAAGGGTCCTGGCCCTTGGCTCTGTACTCTACCTCCTCCTGGCTTTCTCCCAGCCGGGAATGTCCTCACCCCTTTGTCGGCTCACTCTGAGCACCCCAGGTGATCTCACCTGTGCCTATGGCTTCACGTACCGCCAAGGTGATCCTTGGATGACACTCAGATCCCTATCTCCAGCACGGACTCCACCTCTGAGAGCCAGAACTGAGCTTCCGGTGGCCTGACTCCTTCCAGAGCTCACCTGTTACTATTGCTCCTGGGGTCGCACAGACTTGGGGTGAATCCTGGCTGGGTCGAGAGCCAGTGATCCTAGCTAATTGCTGGCCCTCCTTCAGCCTCCTCAACATCTTCATCTGGAAAACCAGCCAGTGCAGGACGGCTCTGAGGTGGCCCTGAGACGATGCCGGAAGGAGCCCGGCTGGTGGGAGCGTGCACAAGACAGTACCCGCAAGGGCGCTGCTGGACTCACTTTGACAGAGGCAGGTAGAGGGACTTGGGAAGGGGGAGCTGCCCTATGTCTCCTCCTACTTGTGGATGGGGGAAGCTACCCCTCAATACCCTTTTCCCATGAAGCCTGGGAGCCTGAAGGCTCTGTCTCACAGAGCTGGGAGACAGAGAGGGAGACACTTGCCGTGTCGTCACTGATGCGCCGGAAGTCCAGGTACACAAGGTCAGGAAGATAGGCACAGATGAACATCTTGTAATCCTCCGCCTCAGAGATGGGGTTCCCAGAAAGGCTGAGCGTGCGCAGGTACTTGAACTGTCGCAGGTAGATGATCTGGGGAGAGGAGGGGAGAAAAACCCGTTTTCTTGGCCATCGCAGAGCTGAGAACACACCTGCAGCCTCTCTCCTCGGCAATCTTTCAGTTTACAGCCTGGCCACAGCACCGTCAGTGCTAGGAGGGGGGACAGGCAGAGTGGGGGGTTCCAGACTGGGCAGCAGTACTGACACTGGTCAGCCACGGGCTTTCCAAAGAATCAGCAGACTAGGGTTCAAATCCTAGCTGTGAGATGTTGGGCATGTTATCTAATATCTGTGAGCCTCAATTTTCTCATCTGTAAAATGGGTATAATGATATCATGTGTGTTATAGGTGATGTAAAGACCAAATGAAACAAGCTATGAAAAACATTTAGAAGAGGGCCTGATACCGACCTACTCTATGAGTGGTAGTTGTAGTTGCTGTCAGTGGCCACTCACACAGGCATGCCTTTTTATATCATAAAGCCCACGAAAGGTCCAAATATCTTAAATTAAATGGAACCCAATTTATGGTTAACCTTGGATTCATTGGATAACAGCTAGTGGAACATTCCGCTAACTGCTATTTGTTCTTCCTATACTCTATTTTTAGTAAAATGTGGAAAAAGTCAACCAGACAGTTAATACTTCATTGAATAACATATTCTGAACACCTAGACATTATATTATGAAAAGATAGAAAGGAAACCTAGCATGCTTTTTCGAATGAATTTCTTTCAGTCATTTGTTTGTTCATTTGCTCAACAAACGTTATTAGGCAGCTAGCAGGCCTCAGGCATGTGCCAGGCCTTGGGGATATTGTGGGGAACAAGGCCCACGTGGTCCCTACTCTTATAGCAACACATTTAAAAATAAGATCACTAGGGTTGGGGTAAATGCTATAAGGAACATAGAGATGGCCCCATGAGAGAAAATAATAGGGAGGCCTTTTTCAGCTAGGGGACTCAGAGGTCTCTCTAGGGTGGTGACATTTAATCTGAAACCTGAGGGAGCCAGCCATGGAAGAGCAGAAAGCATACTCTCGGCAGCAGAACAGTATAGGCAAAGGCCCTGGGGCAGGAAAGGACTTGGCACGAACTGGGAACTTGGCCAAGGCCAGGGTGGCTGCAGCTTGGTGGGGAGGGGCTGGGGGCAGACTCGAGACAAGACTGGACATGAGTTCAGGGGCTGGTTCATGTTAAGACCATGTGGGCTGCAGTCGAGAGTTTGGATTTTATTCTAAGGACAATGGAAGCCACTGGAGTTTTAAGTGTGTATGACGTGCGGCAGACAGAATTTGATTTAATTTTTTTTTTCTTTTTCTTTTATTTCAGCATATTATGGGGGTACAGATGTTTAGGTTACGTATGTTGCCCTTGGTCCCCCCCCCAAGTCCGAGTTTCAAATATGTCCATCCTTCGGGTGGTGCACATTGCACTCCTTGTGTATACAAATATCCGTCCCCTCCTCCCTCCTCCCCCCTCCCCCCTGCCCAACATCCAATAGATGTTATTCTTATATGTGCATTTATGTGTTGATTAGTTAATACCAGAATTTGATTTAATTTTTAAGAGATCTCCCAAAGAGATTTCATTGTTCGTCTTTCAAATGGCAAAGAGAGACACATTTGAAAACAAAGTGTATTGCAGAAGGTGAGAGGGAACAGGCTGCCTCATCCGTGTTGGTGGGCTTTTTAATAAGTAGTTCTACTTCTATTGAGGGCAATTTGGCAAGATCCATCAAAATTTAAAATGCACATGTCCTTTGACCTAGCAATTCCCCTCTAGGAATTTATCTTACAGATGGCTCATCCAGGTGCAAAGTAACCCCTGTTCAAGTACATCCCTGTTCAAGGACATCCACTACAGCCTGTGTGTAGTGGCACCAGGTTGGAAACAACCTTGACATCTACCTGCAGGGAACGAGAAACACATCATGTTGCAGCTGAGTAATGGAATGATCCAGCAGAGAGGGGGCACTGGTGACTTGAGAGGAGAGGGGACACCAAAGGGAGGTGTTTGCAGGGTAGCTGGACAGGCGTGACAATCACACACAATGTTTAAACACAAGACCCCTGGAAGGACACACATGCAACTCAGAAGCAGCTGGGGCCTCCGGAAGGGGAAGCTGGGACAGAGGCCAGGAGTGAACGAAACTCCTCCCTATGTGCGCAAATGTCTGCTTAAACGTCTATCTTTTTGTTTTGTTATTTTTGAGACAGGGTCTCACTCTGTCACCCAAGCTAGAGTGCAGTGGCATCATCATAGCTCACTGCAGCCTCGAACTCCTGGGCTCAAGTGATCCTCCTGCCTCAGCCTCCTGAGTAGCTGGGACTACAGGCGTGTACCACCATGCCCGCTATTTTTTTTATTTTTTATTTTTATTTTTTATAGAGACAGTGTCTTGCTATGTTGCCCAGGCTGCTCTCAAACCCTTGGCCTCAAGTGATCCTCCCTCCTTGGCCTCTCAAAATTCTGGGACTACAGGCATGAGCCACTGTACCCAGCCCATGTGTTTGTTTTTAATGCAAGAAGCAGAAACAAAAATAAGCCTAATAAACAAACAGATGACAAGAAGGTATATAATTAGATGTCATATAAATGGTACTGATGAGGACTAAAATTAAAGATGCTCAGGGTTAGGAGCTAATATCTGAGAGGCATCAGTCAGGACTCTCTGGGTCAAGTAACCAAGAAGGCTGGTACCTGATTAGGTGAAGACGATCCAGGGTCCCCAGGGTCCCCAGGATGTGGCCAGGCCTTAGGAACATCTGGCCCACATGCCTCAGCATTCCCTGGCAGCTTCTCCCCATGGGCCTTCTTTCTCTCTGGGAACTGGCTTTATTGGCTTCTCCCATGTGCATGAGGGGCCCCCTGGCACCTAGCACCCTGCTGGAAAAGGGTGATGGGATTTCCTTTTGGCCAGTCCCTGCAGGGGCAGGATGGCAGAATACCCAAGGCCAAGGGGAAAGTGGGGTGTCCAGGCAGGGCCCAGGCATGTTCACCTCCACACCCTCCACACCCTCTCGTGCCCAGGCCTGGGCCTTCAGAGGGACACGGCCTCAGCTCTGTTGAAGCCTCTAAATGTCCAAAGGAAAACAAATCGGAGGACATTCATTCCCATGTAAGCCCTGGGATATAGGACCTACCAAGGCAGGAACACCTGCTAAATGCTCAGAAATATTTTCAAGCAGCAAGGTTTGAGGCTGTTTGGGGTCAATCCTTAATCTGAAAATTCCTGAATAATATCACTTTCCATGTACTTACTATGTGCTAGGCCCTGTACTGGGCATGACTCTATCTTCACAACTCCATGAAGTAGCAACTACTATTATTCCCATTTTACAGATGGGCAAATGGGCACCCAGAACTCAAAGTCACTGGCCAAGGTCAGGCAGCTGGTAGGTGGCAGTGCTGAGACTTGAACACAGAGACCACATCTCAGCTCCTGACTCATTTGCCTGTACCCTCCATGTTTCCCCGCCAGTGTTTGGTTTCCCTGCCCCCACAGGGCAGAGAGCAGGCTGGACGATCAGGACTTGAACCCTGAAAAGGGCACTGGTTGGGTTTAGATCCTCCATCTGGCACAGGGCAAACTTCGGAGACTACACAGCCTCCAGGGTTTGGCCCTGTTGGACAGACTTACAAATACACGTCACAACTCAGTGCTTGACCAGGCCATTCATCTAAGCCACCAAGCCTGGCTGTACCCCAGCCATGCTACTGGTCTGAGGGTCAGTGCAGGCCCTAGGACTGCCCGATCAGAATGAAGGGTCGCTGTTGGGGGCAGGTTGCTTGCTCTCTCTGTCCTGCTAGATGTAGACAAGGAAGCAACCACAAAGAGAATAGGCCTTGGAGAGATGCTGAGGATGGCAGAGCCCAGAGGCAGAAAGAACCTGTATCCTTGAAGCTCCACTGATAGCCCCTCTCCCAGCGCCAATAATCACGCCACTAAATGCCCTTGCTGTCTGTACCAGGTACTCAGCCGCAGCTGTGACAGACTGTTGCTGACAGCGTCCCATCTCATTTCTCACTGTCTGCCTCACAGAGGTGTCCGAAGCCACAGGAAGCCCACCCAGCCCAGAAGCCTGGTGGGGAGGGAGGGAGTCCCCCTGGGCTGTCACTCAGCTGTTAGGGGGATCAATGCCTCAGGCTCCAGTCCCTGGGTGGTCACTTCAGGAGGCACTCTGGGTACTCCTGAGGCCCAGGAGAGTCAGCGCTCTCCGTCTGCAGCAGCCTCAGTGACACCCCTGCACGTTGGTTCTTCCTCTCCCCTTCTCTTACTCTGGCCTCCCGAAGCCATGTCCCAAACGAACCGCCTGCACCCAGGTCTGTGCCTCAGCTCTGCTTCCAGCCAGTTTGGGGCAAGCTTTTCTGTTACCTGCGGCCACAACATCCTTTCTGGCGTCACCATCCTGGGTTAAGCCATTCACACAGTCCCCCTCGGATGCATCCTCATGGTGGCAGATTCCTTCCTAAATGTAGACCTGTCCCTGAACAGGCATCAGCACAGAAGTCTCCTTGGCTTCCACTGCTTCTCTGGCCATTCTGACTGTCTGCAGTGAGGCCGCAGCCACTCCCTGGGCCCCTCCCTGCACCACACACCCTTGACCTCTTTCAGGGACTGGGGCTCCTCAACAGTGCTGTGCAGGTGGCATTCCAAAGTGCCCCAGGCTGTTGCCCACACCGTTCCTTCCCGCTGGGAAGCCTTTTGCTTCTGCTAGAGGGCAACATTCTAATCATCTCTTAGTGAGTCTGAATCAGGTCACCTCTTGTCCCGACACTCTTGTAGGAAAGACCTTGGCTATAACAGTCCTCCATTTGCTAAGAACACACTCCAGCCTGACACTGAACCAAGTGCTTTATGTTCATAATAAGAGCCCGGGCGGGTGCGTAATGGCCACGATGTCCATCTGAGAGACGAGGAAACCGAGCTGTAGAAAGTGTGAGCCTCAGTTGGGTTCACATCCTCCTGTCTTGGGTGCAGGGCAAACTTCTGAGACTACAGCACTCTGGGTTTTGTCCCTGCTGGACAGACTTAAATACAGGTCACAACTCGGTGCTAACTCACCCCAGGCCATTCGTCTAAGCCACCCTGGTGTGCAGCTAGGATCTGAACCCAGGCTGCCTGATGGACATAGGCGGAAAAGGAATTTTAAAAGGTTTCTGGACAGCCCCAGTATTGGTGGTCTGGAGAAGCACCCAGGAGCCACCTGGTAAGGTCACTGCTGGGTCATCTTTGACATAGGACCCTTATAGCTGCTACCACACCCCCAGCCCACTGGGGTCTCAGCCCTAGCTGGCTGCTGTGAGCCCACTGTGGGGGTAGGTGGGGTGCAGCCTGCCTTCCCCTCAGATACCAGTGTCCACTATCACTCATACACAACCCCTAGCACCTCTGGTTGCCCTCCTACCACCCACAGACCTTGCTCCTTGGGACACCTTGAATCTTGATTATGTGGGTGTGTACTGGTCACCCTTGAAGGGACCATACCTTGTCTCTGTACCCACTGAGCACAGGACATACACCCCATGACCAACAGCAAAAATGTTTGTTAAATGCGCCTAAGACTCAGGAAAGTGACTCCACTGATGCAGCGGTCATAAACTGGTACCCACAGATGGATTGTGTGGGGTTAAGTGTGGTATTTAAACATTATCAAATCCCTCATGGAATAATCGGATTTCTGGCTTTTCCAGGAAAAGAGCGAGCTCTGGAACACTCAGCCTGTACTTCCCCTTGCTGCAGACCCCTTCCTTGACCTGAAGCTCGTGGCCGAGCTCCATCTGAGCCCAGGCAGCCAGCCCTCCCCGACCCAGCCACTCACGTTCATCATGTTGCTGATCTGGTTGTTGCCCAGCGACAACACCTGCAGCTTGACAAGGGCGTCCAAAGCGTCAATCTTGGAGATCCGGTTGCTGAACAGGCTCAAGTCCTCTAGGTTCACCAGTGTGTCCAGTCCCTCGATGGCCTCAATGTTGTTGAAGGACAGATCTAGGGAAGGAGGAGGGCTGTGAGGGTCTGTGCCTGGGTTAGGGGATAGACTGTCCTGAAAGAAAACCATCGGGGCTGCTTAGTGTTCTGTGAGCCAGCATCGAGCTATTGGAGCCAGGAATTGACTCACTGTCTAGATTTTCTAGAAGCCTGGCATGGATTCTTCCTTGCAGCCTCAAACATTCACCACCCTCTCCAGTTCTGCCAGTCATCTCCTGGCAGAACTGGCTGGGGACATGTGGGCAAATATTTATGTCTATGCGCTACCAAAGTTCTGGGATGACAATGCTTAGTAGCAGGTCTAAAGCAGTGCACCCTGGTGGTGGGAGCAGAAAGTGTGGAGTATCCGCTTCCCTCCCACCTGTGGCATTTTAGTAAGATCACCTCCTGTCTGCGTAGCATTTACCAGTTTGTCAAGCGCTGTGTATTTTCTCTGACAAGAGCCCTGAGTGGTAGTTTGGAATTTTTCTCCTTGTTTGATCATTTGGGAGGTGGAAGCTCAGAGAGGCTCAGTGATTTGCCCAAAGCCACACAGCTAACCACGGTGGGGCCAGAGTCCATCTAGGGCTTCTCCCTGGACACCTGGCAGGTCAGGTTCTTCCCACTATATCACGGCTGTCTCAGGCCCCCTTCCCAACCCC